TTGAACCGCTGACCTTCTGGTACACAACTGAGTGCTTAACCACTGTACCACCAGGGCTCCTGTACTTCAATAGATGAATAAATAAACAACTTGTGGTACAAGAAGTCAGTCTGAAAACTCCACCTAGTATGATTTCAACTATATAACATTCAGGAAAAAAACAAAAATACAGAGATAATAATAAGATGAGGGGTTGCCAGGTAGGTGTTCAGGATAGGGAGAGGAATGAACAGGTAGAGCACAGGACATGTTGAGGGCAGTGAAATCATTCTGCATGATATATTGTAATGGTGGACAAATGACTATTATGGGTTTGTCAAAACCCACAGAACTATGCCACCCAAAGAATGAACCCTAATGTAAACTAAGGACTCCAGTTAATAATTAATACTGTATCAATGCTGGTTCATCCATCTTAGTGGATGTGCCAAATGAACACAAGATGCTAAGAGAAGAAATTGTGAAATGGGGAGAGAAGGTATGTGGCGTTCTCTGAACAGTTTTTCTGTATGCCTAAAACTGCTCTAAAAAACAAAGTGAACCAAAAACAAAGCAAAAACTCTAGAATGGAGAAGCTACAAACCATGCCATCAGAGTAAGTAGATGAATCCACTTAAATACTGAGCTAAGAATAAACAAATACATGGATCAGGTTACACAAAGGTATACAAATGTTAGTATCAACAACAGGGTAATTATAAGTGAAATGTCAGGAAGTAGTTGAAAAGGGAAGGAAGGTGGGAAGAAGCTGAAGGTGTTAATTTCTGCATCTTTCATTAAAGAGCGTATCAAGCTGTTGAAAAGTAAAATATACTGAAACTTGCAGCTTTTTTTGTGAATTGGATGAAGGTTTACAGAGTAGATCAGTTTCCATTCAACAATTCATGCATATTTTGTTTTATCTTATGGAAAAACTTATACCTTTTGAAATTCACCAAAACTTCATGTTTTAAAAAAACTTTGCCTTAGATAGATTTTTTAGTAATTACTATCACTAATAAAGAATCATTTATGTGAAGGTTATCTTTTTAATGTTAATGTTTGAAAGTACAAAGTAGAACTAAGCACTTACCAAAACAAAGTAGCATATGTGGAGTGATTCTTTGTTGTTGTTACCTGCTGTGGAGTCGGTTTCAATTCAGTGACCCTGTATAGGGTTTCCAAGGAGCGGCTGGTAACTTTGAACTAACACCCTTGTGGTTCAAACTGATCTGGTGGTCCAGTGTTTATCCTACAGTGCCACACCAGTAAAATCTGAGATGGATCGGGAGTGTGGTGTCTCCATATGATAAACACTGGACTGAGAATCATAGGGTCTGAGGTTCAAGACCATCATGCTTTGTGCTCCTGTGAAGACTTAAAGCCTCAGAAACCCTATGTAGGGTGGCTATGAGTCAGAACCAAGTCGACTGCACTTAACAACAACAAAGGCATACATCTGGATGATAGTAACAGAACATTAATAATGATTATTTCTAAGTTATGTGACCCTAGGTGATTGTTTGCTTTCTTCCTTGCATTTTTCTGTAATGTTTGCATGTCTTATAATGAGCATATATTTTTAATCAATTTCTGTATCTTAGTGATTGTGTTAGAGCTGTGTTGTTCAACACTGTTGGTGTTAAGTGCGTTGAGTCAGTTCAAACTCATAGTGGCCCTGTATGGTGTTTCCAAGGAGTGGCTGATGGGTTTGAACTGCTGACCTTGTGGTTAGCAGTCTAGTGCTTATCCTACAGTGCCACACTAGGACTCCAACGTTATGTTTTGTTAAGTGCCATCGAGTCAGTTCTGACTCGTAGCGACCTTATGCACAACAGAATGAAACACTGCCTGGTCCTGCGTCATCTTAACAATTGTCATGTTTGAGCCCATTGATGAGCTCAACCCATCTACTTGGGGGGTTTCCCCTTTTGCACATACTCTCCATTTTACCAAGCATGAAGTCCTTCTCCAGGAAATGGCCCCTCCTGATAACACGTCTAAAGTATCAGAGATGAATTCTCAGTATCCTGGCTTCTAAGGAATATTCTGGCTGTACTTCTTCCAACACAGATCTGTTTCTTCTTCTGGTGGTTCATGGTACCTGTCCTCAACACTGTAATTCAAATGCATCGATTCTTCTATGGTCTCCCTTACTCAACTCCACACTAGTTGGCAATTTTATTTTATTATTATTATTATTTTAGTTTTTATTGTGAATTGAGTGATAGTTACATGGGAGAACATCACTTTTACACTCATCATTTCATTGCAATGATTACTATCCTCCCTGTGCATCATCATTCAACAGTATTTTTTTCTATTCCCTCTGTTTTTTTATTTGTTTTGTTTTGTTTCTTGGGGGAGGGATATATACAAAACCACTCAGGAATATATAACCATTTAAACAACCAAAGGACACCTTCTGCAAGCCTGCCTCCTGGCTGCCAGCACACAGCCTTTCTCTTTCCATGAATCTAGAGTCCTCATCTGCTCTCTCTCTCCATGTCATCATCTCTGCCTCCACCTCTGGTGTCACTGCTTCTCTGGATAGGGTCCCACATTCCACTCATACTCTTCTCCCTTGATGGTCCTAGAGTCCTCTGTTCCTGGACTGTAAGATTAACAACTCTCCCCTTTATGTTATAAAACTTCTACCTTTTTGGTTGTGACAGTAGCAATTAGTCATGATAACAATTAGTCACTATTGAATCATAAGAATCTTATCCTCATCTTCTTTCACCACACCCATCTCGACAAGATGAAAACTGTTCAGTGGGGATTTACCTTTCCTCACACACTCTAAAACTAAACTCCCTTGAAAACTTGTAAGCCAGTCACTTTGTGCCTCTATTGTCCCCTCATTTTAGGTAGCCAGTGTCTAAGTTGCCCGTCCCTATCTACCCTGTATACAGAGGGGTTGATACTTGATGTGAAGACTCCTTTCCTCTCAGTTGGTATTTTGAGCTACTACATCCATAAGTATA